AGCGTGCACTCAGCGGGCACCAATTCTGCCAATGAAAAAACGCTGTTATATTTAAGGTCTCGACTGAAATATATGTTCAAAAATTGTCTAGTCAAAAATGATCCGTACGGATGCTGCACCGATAATTTTACCGGCTATTTTAAACGGTATTTAATTACGATTCTTAAATATATAGAATTGGTTATGCACAAGCCTTAGTGCGCACGCAGCGCGCACCAATTCTGTCAAAGAAAAACGCTGTTATATTTAAGGTCTCGACTTAAATACACGTTGAAAAACTATCTAGTCAAAAAATGATCCGTACGGATGCCGCACAGATCATTTTACCGACTAAGGGCCAATTTCACAAACGACAGTTAACTGTTAACCGGAGTTGAGTGAACGCTCTACCTTTTTCTGTCCTATTATTTAAGAAGAGACAGAGAATCAATTAACCTTCGGTTATCAGTTAACCAGAGTTCGGTCAATTTCCTTTTTTTTCTATTTTGTTATCTAAGAAGAGACCGGAGAGTCAATAAACCTTCGGTCAGCTGTTGGTGAAACTGGCCCTAAGAGATGTTTCAAGAGGCATTTAACACGATCCTTAAATATAAAAATCGACTGTAAACGAGCCTCGGTGTGCAACACATTGCAAGCCGAATTCGCTACGCGTTGCACCGCCCGTTTAAACCGCCGTGCGATCGGAGATCGTCGACTGAACGAGCACACGTCGAAGCGGGAAAGGGGACTCGTCCGCGCCGCGGACGATATCTACTTAATTAACGGCGCGTCTCTCGCGGCGGAGACCCGAGCGTCTCACGTCGGGACGTTCGGCGCAATCGGCGGGACATCTAATTTCGGCGGTCGATAATTGCGCGATCGTTAATTAACCGCTCGCGCGCCGGCGAGATGTACCTTGACGCGCGCGTATTATCATGTCCGGAGCGCTCTCGGCGGCCGACGACGGCCGGGACGCAATTCGATTATCGCCAACGACTGTCCCCCGGCGAAGAAAGCGTTCGGAGCCTCGTGAATCCTGGCGCGCGTCCTCCTCGCGGAGACGACCCTTTCGGTCTTCGCGGGGCGGCCCTGATTAGGGGATAATTAACGAGCCGCCGCCGTCGCCGCGCGGGATGTAGCCAAATATTTTTAAACCCATCCGCGTAACACGATCCCTCTCTCTCTCTCTCTCTCTCTCTCGCTCTCGCTCTCGCTCTCTCTCGGTCGGTAGATGCGAAGAGAATATTAAATTCACGTCACTCCACTCTCGTCAGTCTTCGCACGAAATCAGCTCTAATTTTACCCCGGGCCTCTCTCTTTCTCGCCCTCGCTGTAAATGTGATTCACACCTAGTTTGTTATTCCGACAAGCATGACTAATACCGCCATTCGGTGAACGATCGTAATCGAGTCCCGCGGGGCGGTCGCGGGGAGGGCTGCGGGCACGGGAGGTGCATTCGATTAAGCGTACGGGGGTTGCGTAAGGTTTCCGAAATGTCGGGGCGCGTGTAAGCGAGGTGAAACCGCGCGCGGCGCGTGAATTAAGGTAAAACGCCGTTTCGGCGTGCCAGGGGTGGAAAAGAACCGCCGGATTATCGGCGGAAAAGCCGAGTACAACGGCGTTATCGCGCGGCACCGCGGCACAAAGGGACGGGGGGGATCGATCGCTACTCCGCGCGTCCAGGTATTATTATCGATTCGCTCATTGTCGCCGTCTTTCGCCGTCACTCGCATCTTTGTTTACACGTCAAGTTCAGGTCCCGGGAATATCTACGCGCGGCGTAGAGAGGAAGGAAAAGGAAAAAAAAAGAAGTCGTACTCTCTCTCTCGATCGCGTCCGTCAGGTGCGAGGCGAGAAGGCGACCCGCGTCCAACGCGGAGACGCGTCTCCGTCGCGCCTCCTCTCATCTCCACCCCTCCCGCGGCGCCGACGCGGCCTCGTGTCGCGACGAAACAATCGTGCAACTCGACGAATTTTCTCGCACACCGCTCGCTCGCTCGCTCGCTCGCTCGCGCGAGCGAATCTCACCGGCGTGCAGCGACGGGCGGAACGATTGCGACATATTCCTCTCTTATTCCAAGCGAGTTCGGGAACGTGCTGTTAGATTCGGGGTTGCGTCCCAAAATCCGCTTCCCCGAGGAATGTCTTACTCGAGGGTCCGTTTCTCAGGTAAACTTGAATACCTCGGGAAATGTTTCGGGAAGCAGATCTGTGGGTTAATCCCGAGGGTGAATTCTGTACCTTGCACCATAATGAAAATGCTAAAGGCGAGTAGCTTCGTCTCGTTCCAACTGTCCCCTTAGAAAGGGACAGAGCCGCTCACTTTTAGCATTTTCACTATATTGTAAAATACAGAATCGACCCTCTGTATCTTAAACCGTCGTGAAAATGTTGAAAGTGAGTAGCTTCGTCTCTTTCTAACTGACCCCTCAGAGAGAGAGAGAGAGAGACGAAGCCGCTCACTTTCAGCATCTTCCCTGCGTTGGAGGATACAGAATTGACCACCTCCGAATCTAATAAATGCACCTGGCGTTCCCAAACTCATTAAAGAAAAGTCGCGTCGCGACCAATCCTGTCCGTCACCGTGCGTCGCGGGCGGGTTTTTCCGGGGCGCGCGTCAACGTTCGGCGCCGAAAGTTTCTCTCTCTCGCGCGCGCGGAATCAACCGGTGCTCTCGGGGCCCCGCGTCAATTATCCCCGGACGGGGACGGGGAGATTCGCGGGACGAGCGTCCGGAAACGAATCGATTTCCGCCCGCGGACGGCGAAGCGGCGGCGGGATTTTTCTGCTCCGCGCTTTTTTTTTCCCCTCCCCCGACACCTTTTTGTTACGTCACGGCGAAAACGTCCCCGCGAGGGAAGCTCCGTCTCGGGGAGCATCAACAATCCGCGCGCGGTCGGGACGCGCCAGAGGGTGGTCGGGGCCGACGGGGCTCTCTCGACAGATGTCCTCGCATTTTTTCTCCGCCCTCCCGTCGCCCGTTTCCTCGTGTCGCGGAGGCGAGAGAGAGAGAGAGAGAGAAATCGCACGACGGCCGAGGATTAACAGCCGCCTTTCTTTCCTCGCCCGTTTCGCGCGGCGGCGGCGGCGGTGGCGGTGGCGGTGGCGGCGGCGGCAGCGGCATATCGACCGGGTGGGCGCAGTGCAACGTTCAACTCGCCGTACCGTATAATACAACGGGAGACGGAGCGCAGGCACGCACACGGTCAATGGATTCGCCGCGGCGGTTCGCAGGTGCTGTTATCGCCCGTCGCACCTGCGGACCGCCGCGTCGCCGCGCCGCCGCGCGACGCGCCGCGACGCGAGGCGACGTCGTCCCCGACGGCTCCCTCGCCGCCGTCGGGGACTCGGGTGGCACGCTCGCGCGACCGCCGCACGCCAGGTAAACGGCGGCGAATGTAGGACACGGCGGCGGCGGCGGCGGGCGAACGGGGGGAGAAAGGGAGAGAGAATCGGAAAGGACCGGAATATCACCTCCATGATCGAAGGAGCTCGAAGGTGTCGACTCGAAGGCCGACGCGGCGATGCTCGCGTGGGTGAGCCCGACGCACAGGGCCAGCAGGCCGCAGAGCAGCGCGCCCGTCCTCGTCGTCGTCGCCTGCGGCAGCATATTTCCTCCGCTCCTCCTCGTCCTCCCCGTCGTCGACGTCGTCGACGTCCTCGTCGTCACGGGATCGCGCTCCGCCTGGCCGCGCGCGGCGTGGCTTGCGAGGCACCGTAGTACTACGGCGAGAGAGCTCGTACCGCGCCTCTCGCGCTCTCGCGAGACTCTCACACGGGGTCGGATGTAACGACGTCTCTCACTCGCGCGCGCACTCCGGAGTACACACTTCGCTTTTTAAAGGAGCATCGCCGACTGACTGCACGGGGAAACGGACTCTGTCTGGCGCGCGCGCGCGCTCGCTCTGCTCGCTCGCACTCGCGCGACGGTGTGCCACGGCGCGGCACACACACACTCGCCGGAGTCAATATTTGAGCGGAATATCGATTCGCCGGAGCACGGGAGAGAGTGAGAGAGAGAGAGAGAGGTGCCGATTCTCGCCGCGATGCTCCGGGGTGGCGCTGCCGCCGTCGTCGCCGCGCGGCTCCTCAAGCCCCGTTCACACGACCTCCCGCGGCGAGACCCGTGCGATTCACGACCTTTCGAATTAACGCACACGGCGATGGACGAAATGGTTGCGACACCTTTTTTACTTTTTTTCAAGAGTTTAGCAACGCACATTTAGATTCGATTTACGTTTCGAAACGTTTTCACCGAGGAGAATTTTACTCGAGAAGGATCGGAAACGCGTGAAATGGTTTCGGAATGGCCGTCGTGTGAAATATTCCTCGATTTTCGAACGCAAGCCTGAATCCAAACGTTTCTAAGCTCTAAAAAAAAAGCGTCGCAATTATTCTGTCCATTACTGTGTCCATTACTGCGCGCAGTCGTGGACAGAATGGCGGCGACACTTTTCAAATTAACGAGCTTAGAAACGCGCGCTTAGATCTCTTTCTCGCTTGTGCACAATGGACAGTCGTGACATCGTCAAACTTCCACGTGCAACGTGTAGCAAATAGCACAGTAGCAGGGGCTCGATTCTTAAATTCATTCTGCTCTCGCAGAAAAATTGAAAGTCGATTGGTTAAAAGCCATGCGAGTGGCCAATCGAACCTTTCCGTACGCGCAAAATTCGCGCGTACGTTTTCTTCGTCTAATGAATTCGAGAATCAAGCTCCCGTCCGAAGATAGTAGTTCTTACAGTCTCCGAATTTAAGGGCGCGTTCCTAAACTCATTTATAAAGAAAAGTTTCGCAACCATTCTGTCCACGATTGCACGCACAGATAGGCAGGAATGCCTGGACATTTCCGTATTCCATAACTATACGCGCCAACAGTGTTGTGCATAGATGATTTTAAAATTAGCTAGATAAAGATAAGATAAAAATATATAAATTTATCTTAGATAAGATAAAGATGATTTCGTTTTGAATATATCTAGATAAAAGATAAAATTATATGATGATTCATCTAGATAATTTTCAGATAATATTTTTAAGACTTCATGTAAA